AGCTCACAGCAACCTCCAACTCCTGGGCTCAAGCGAGTCTCCTGCCTCAGCCTCCCAAGTAGTTGGGACCACAGGCGCCCGCCACAACACCTGGCTATTTTTTGGTTGCAGCCGTCATTGTTGTTTGGCGGCCCGGCTGGATTCGAAACCGCCACCTTAGGTGTATATGGCTGGCGCCTTAGCCACTTGAGCCACAGGGGCCGAGCCTCCTCTCTCTTTACCTTCTTAAAAACTACTCAAGTGGGCGACATCCATAGTTTAGTGAGTAGTGCGCCAGCCACATACACCAAGGGTGGCAGGTTCGAACCCAGCCCAGGCCAACTAAACAATGACAACCGCAACAACAACAAAAATATAGCTGGGCGTTGTGGCGGGCACCTGTAGTCCCAGCTACTTGGGAGGCTAAGGCAAGAGAATCACTTAAGCCCAAGAGTTTGAGGTTGCTGTGAGCTGTGATGCCATGGCACTCTACCAAGGGCAACATAGTGAGACTTTGCCTCAACCCCCCCAAAAAAAGACAAACAAAAAAACAAAAAAGCTCAAGGGTGGTGCCCGTAGCTCAGTGGGTAGGGCACCGGCCACATACATCCAGGTCCAGGCTGGTGGGTTTGAACCGGGCCCAGGCCAGCTAAACAACAATGACAACTGCAACAACAACAACAACAAAAAAATCACCGAGCGTTATGGCAGGCACCTGTAGTCCCAGCTACTTGGGAGGCTGAGGCAAGAGAATCACTTAAGCCTTAACAGTTTGAGGTTGCTGTGAGCTGTGATACCACAGCACTCTACCCAGGGTGACAGCTTGAGACTCTATCTAAAAAAAAAAGAAAAAAAAACTGCTCAAATCCTACCTCTTCATAGGACCACCTGGACTAATCCTTCTTCCAGCCCCCTCTGCCTCTCTTCTTTCTCCATTCCCATGCTTCCACATTTATTTATTTCCTACTTTCATTGTTGGCCTCCCTGTCTACACCCACCCCCACTAGAGTGGGGATCATTGCTTTGCTTGCTGTGTCTAGCATTGTTTGGCATATATTAGATACTCAGTAAATACTGGCTGAATGAATGACTAAGACCAACTTGCATGGATGGAGCAATCTCATAAATAGTATTTCATTTCATAAACATCAGTAGTGCTATGCCAAGAAGTCTATTCCTCCATTGCCAGTGATGGAAAGGCTTTAAAACTAGACAGATCTTCCAGAAGATTGTCTCTTATCCATCCCATCCCATCCCACCTAACTCCTATCCTGTGGCCTGTCATTTATTTATAATTTTTTTTTTTTGAGACAGAGTCTCACTCTGTCACCCTAAGTAGAGTGCTGTGGTGTCATGGCTCATAGCAACCTCAAACTCTTGGGCTCAAGTGATTCTCTTGCCTCAGCCCCCTGAGTCGCTGAAATATTTATAATTGTTGTAAGAAAAGAAACATCCTGCACACAAATAATGTAAAATTTACCATCTTAACCATTTTCTTTCTTTTTGGGGGGCAAGGGGAACAGGGTCTTGTTTGTTACACAGGCTGGAGTGCAGTGGCATGATCAATAGCTCATTGAAGGCTCCAACTCCTGGGCTCAAGTGATCCTCCCACATCAGCCTCCTGAGTAACTGAGACTACAGGCACCTACCACAACACCCAGCTAAGTTTTTAAATTTTGTATACAGATGGAAATAGGTGGGCCAGCACTAAGTCAGCATCTGCAGCACTCAGACCAGGCAGGAACACCACAGCTCCTCTCTCTTTACCTTTTTGCTGTGTTGCCCAGTCTTGGCTCATGTCTGGCCTCAAGTGATTCTCCCAGCTTTGGCTTACTAAAGTGCTGGAATTATAGGCATGAACCACCATCTTAATCATTTGTAAGTGCACAGTTCAGTGGCATTAGGCACATTCCCACGGTTAGGCAACCATCACCATCATCCATCTCCAGAACCTTCTCATCTTCTCAAACTAAAACTCTGTCCCCTTGAAATACTAACTCACCATCCCTTGGCACCCACCATACTACCTTATGTTTCTATGAATGTGATGACTTTAGGGACTTCCTATGAGTGAAATCACACAATATTTGTCCTTTTGTGTCTTTGGCTTCTCTCACTGAGCACAGTGTCCTCAAGGTTCATCACGCTATAGCCTGTGTCAGAGCCTTGTTCCTTTTCACGGCTGAATAATAGTCAACTGGATGTATATACCACATTGTGTTTATCCATTCATCCACCAATGACCACTTGGGCTGATTCCACTTTTCGGTTGTTTGTGAATAGTGCTGCTATGAACATGGGTGTACAAATCTCTGAGACTCTGTTGTCAGTTGTATTGGGCATATAACCAGAAATGGAATCAATTGCTGGATAACATGGTAATAATGTTAACTTTTATTTTTTTGAGACAGAATGTCACTTTGTCACCCTTGGTAGAGTGCTGTGGCGTCATAGCTCACAGCAACTTCAAACTCTGGGGCTCAAATGATTCTCTTGCCTCAGCCTCCCAAGTAGCTGGGACCACAGGTGCCCACCACAATGCCCGGCTATTTTTAGAGACGGGTTCTCGCACTTGCTTAGGCTGGTCTCGAATATGTGAGCTTAGGCAATACACCCTCCTCGGCACCCCGGAGTGCTAAGATTACAGGCGTGAGACACCGCGCCGGGCCCATGATATTAACTTTTTGAAGAACCATCTAACTATTTTCTGTAGTAACACCGTTTTAAAATACCACCAAAATAACCCAGGTTGTTCTTAAATTTCCCTTTAAGATGCAGGCTTACCCGACCAGACTCTGAACCTCCTTGTCCTCACCTTATTTTTCGTACCATCTAGCTGTTGTTGGGCTTAGGATACAGTAGGCGCTCAATATTTCGTGAATAAATAAGTGAATGTGGACCTACCTGGTCAGGTAAGGCCCGCTCGCAGGACCCATTTCCTCCAGCAGAGGGCACTCTACGGAGCTATACTAACCAACGCAAAAGAGATGCAAACATACCACAGCCGGACCCAGAGGGACATTTTTTGATCAGGCGCGCCGTGGACAACCCGGGTGCCCACGGGACTTGGGCCTTAAAATGATGCCGCTGCACTTGCAGAGGGCTGGGCGGCGCGGCCTGCAAAGCTCCAGAGGCTGAAGTCTGGCCAGCTTGCGCTCTTCATTCTTTCTTCCTCAGGCTCCTGTCCCAGCCCATGGATCCACTACCCGCCTCTGTCCCACGAGATTTCGAGTTTCTGAGCAGGCGCGCTGCGGACAGTCTCTCCCGGGGTTCCTTGCGGCGGCGTCCCAGGGGTCTCCGGGGCCTCAGAGCAAGATGGCGGCTGTGAGGTCCGTGAGGCGCGGGCGGCGGCGACCGCGGCGCCAGTGAGGGGCCCGGGGGCCCGGGTGGCTCCGGGCCAGGGCCCCGGCGCGGGACGGACCATGCTACGCTCCACTGGCTTCTTCCGGGCTATCGACTGCCCCTATTGGGCTGGGGCACCTGGGGGGCCCTGCCGGCGGCCGTACTGCCACTTCCGGCGCCGCGGGGCCTGGGTCCCCGGCGGCGGCGGCGGCGGAGCGGCGTCCCCCGCAGCAGGTAATGCCCGCCTGCCCGCCGGCCCTGGTCTCTGTTTCCCGGCCTAGGTTTGCACTCCACTGCCAGGCCCACCCGGGCCCGCGGTTCTGGCCCAGCCCCCTCCCCACACGCTCGCGGGCGACGTCCCCCCCGCCAGGGCCAGGACTACCCACCCGGGACTCAGTGCAAGTCGTTGGAACTCTTTAATCCTCCATTTTCACGAGTGTGTAACGTAAACAATGAGAAGAAGTGGTTTGCCAGGGCGTGGGCAGAATGAGATAGCGCAGACGGAGCACTGAGCACCGGGCGTGGCACACACGGGGCTTGCGAAGGGAGCGCCGCCAACCTAGGCAGGTCTGAGGACTCGTACTCTTGTGCTCCTCGGGAGGAAACCTTTGCCATCGCTCCCTCAACCCCATGTACTTGTGGTAGCTTTTGTTTATTTCCGCGACACTTTACCCGGCCGCGCCTCTGTTAGTGGCCACCACTGTCTCCACTATAGTCAAAGAGGAGCACCTGCGTTGACCTTTGTGTCCAACACGACTGGATAGGGAGTACATCAAAACTCACTTGACTGGGATGGGAATGAGGCGAGGTAGGCGTTCCAAGGAATGTTCTGCTTGTGTGTTTGGGCAGAAAGTTAATGGACTGCAAATCGCGTATTCATGGTAATCAGTATCACCTTTTCTTGTAGAAGGTGTCAAATTTGAGCTAGTAATTTACAGCGAGGATTCAAATTGGAGCAAGAGAGGGACATCACAAGGAAAGACTAGGAGGGAGGATTATCCAGACTCTCCCTGGTCCCTCAGGAGTGGTTCTTCTCTCCCATCAGGCCTTGACTTATAACATTCCAGATTTCCTCCTTTGGCATCAGTTTCAAGCATTCTCACCTTCCCCATGACACAATGGTTGTCATTGTTCTTCCTTCAAAAGAGGAACATCTTTGCCAGGATAAATAGTAGGCCTATTTTCCCATTGTGCCGGAAAAAAGGGTAGAAGTTTCTTAAATATCCCCCATAAATTTGCTTAGAACACCTGAACTTGTGGCCAGTTGTTCACAGCTGGCTAGATGCAAGCATTCAATTTCTAGCCCTCAGCATCCAGCATCTTTGCTGTGCTTGATGTGGGTGATTCAGAGCTATGGAAGGTGCTGGCTTTGTAATCTGGGACCTGCTGTTGAGGAGGGAAGGCAGACATGCTCACAGATACCTTAACATAAGATCGTGATACCCTGGGAGCATGGAGCTGGCTCTGGTATGGGGTGGGGAGTTGGTGGGGAAGACAGTACATGAGGGAGGTGGTGACACCTGACTCATGTTGCTTGTTTCTACTGTATTAAAGGGCAGTTTGGCTCGGCGCCTGTGGCTCAAGCTGCTAAGGCGCCAGCCACATACACCTAAGGTGGCGGGTTCGAATCCCCAGCCCGGACCCGCCAAACAACAATGACGGCTGCAAACAAAAAAATAGCCGGGCGTTGTGGCGGGCACCTGTAGTCCCAGCTACTTGGGAGGCTGAGGCAGGAGACTCGCTTGAGCCCAGGAGTTGGAGGTTGCTGTGAGCATGATGCCATGGCACTCTACCCAGGGGGATAGCTTTGGGTTCCGTTTCAAAAAAAAAAAAAAAAGGGCAGTTTTTTGCCTTTTTAAAAAAAATTGCCATTATATGTGATGTTCTGTGAAGAGACACCAATCAGACTAGCTGAGGATAGGACTATTCCCTTATGCTGCTGACATTCTGACTTGTCTGAGTGCATTACTGTCCAGTCTCTAGAACTCAGGAGCATTTCTCCTTTTGTTGTTCCCCTGCCAAGTCAGTCTTTTTTTATCTTTCTACAACAAAAATGGCTGGCTAATCAAAGGATTTTTTTTTTTTTGAGACAGTTTCACTATGTCATCCTCAGTAGAGTGCTATGACATCACAGCTCACAGCAACCTCCAACTCCTGGGCTTAGGCAGTTCTCTTGCCTCAGCCTTCTGAGTAGCTGGGCCTATAGGCACCTGCCACAACGCCTGCTTGTTTTTTTGTTGCAGTTTGGCCAGGCTGGGTTTGAACCCAGCACCCTTGGTATATGGGGCTGGTACTCTATTCACTGAGCCACAGGCAATTTTTTTGTTGCAGTTGTCCTTGTTGGTTAGCTGGGCCAGGCCAGGTTTGAACCTGCCAGCCTGGGTGTATGTGGTTGGTGCTGTAACCACTGTGATACAGGCGCCAAGCCCCAAAGGATCATTTTGAGGGTCCATTTGGGGATGTAGTCCTGTCTCCCTCAATCTAACACAGGAGAAATGCAACTGCCTACCTGTTTCCCCAGTATGTCTGCATTTTGCTTTTGTTGGCAAGAATAAATAATCTTTTTCTCATCTCTGGGAAGTTCGGAGGGTTGGGTCTTTTGTTACTTTCTAGTAGAAGGCTGCCTTCCCCTGTGGAGAGGGAGGATTAGATCTCAACTTCACCTTTCATGTTGTGGGACATGCCTACCCTGTCCAGATTTTGACAAGTCCAGTATCCTCTCAGATATTCAGAGGCAGGAATGATCTAGCCTTGGTTGTTCCCTCTTGGGCTCTGTAGAAGGGCAGAGGAACTCTTTTAGTTGCCTTTACTTTTATCTGTGAGGTGTTTGTTTCGATTTGTTTTGGTTTCTGAATCCCTGCTCTTTGCAAGCACACATGTGTAACCTCCTTTGTATCTGTAGTAGATGATGAGGAAACATGTTCATTGGCCTCTTGAGAGTATTCCAGAGGGAAAGGGCTTCCAGAGAGGAGACGTGACAGGAAGATGGGTGAAATGCTGGCAGGTAGCCCTGGAACATCTGTGAGGGCTTGCACATCACCTTGACCTTCAGAACTAGGTGCTGCTAGTGGGGAAACTGAGGCTTAGTGAGGAAAGTCATTTGCCAACATCCCCACCCAGGTGGCGCAAGTGTTGGGCCTTTGGGAGGTGGGGTCATTCCCAGGTACAGAGGAGAGCCCTTCCTGGAGGGGTCATGTGATGAAGGCTCAAAGGCAGGTGGGTTTTAGCCTTGTGAAGGCAAGCAGTATCCAGGAGCTGTGACATGAGTGGGCAGGTGGAAGAGGATCAGAGGGTCAGTGGTGACTATGAATAGCAGGTTTGAAGGACTCTGAGTTTTCCTCCTGGGCTCTGATCCCCAGACCTGCTCAACCTTTTTATTTATTTATTTATTTATTTAAGATAGAGTGTCACTGTGTCGCTGCCCTCAGTAGAGTGCTGTCGTGTCACTGCTCACAGCAACCTCTAACTCTTGGGCTTAAGGGATTCCTTTGCCTCAGCCTCCCAAGTAGCTGGGACTACAGGCACCCACCACAATGCCTGGCTATTTTTTTGTTGTTGCAGTTGTCATGTTGTTTAGTAGGCACGGGCTGGGTTCGAACCCGCCTGCCTTGGTGTGTGTGGCTGGTGCTCTAACCACTGAGCTATGGGCACTGAGCCCTGCTCCGCCATTTTTGAGCTGGCTGGATTTGCCTAGGATTGGTCTGGCAACCTGTACAGTGAGCATCGTGTATATCTTGGACTCAGGGAGGTGCTGACCCTGTATTCTGAGCCATGTCCTAAGTGTCATGGGCTGTGAACTGTCCTTATAGAGGATAGCTTTCCAGTGTCCAGCTCTGCCACTGCTTGTAGGAGGGGAGGGGCTGGATCTCATTTCTGTCCACCCCTCCTGTCTGACCTCAAACTCCAGATCCCCAACCACAGCCCCACATTGCCTCCAGCATCTTTAGCAATCTGTACCCTGCCAAGATGTAGGATGTTGTCTTACCAGAGAACTTACAGGAAAGCACAAAGCACTTCACAGGTAAAGTGGGATCCATCCTAGGCCTCCAGAGCATAGGCTGTTTCTGCTCTAGTGGAAATGCTCTCACAAACAGTAACTTTCATTTTTTTTTTTTTTT